TATGAGCACTCCAGCTGGATGTCCAGAGTGGCAATATTTACTGATCTGGGTAAAAAAACCGGTTTGCTCTAAGCCTAACCTCCGGCACCCTGCAAGTTGTTAAGCCTTTTTTGTCAATCCGTCCATTAAGAGCCCAATTTACCCTGTACCTGGCTGATTGACAAATACACTAAATTTCTTGAATTTTTTTTCGGCTGCCATGGAACGATTGATGGACTTCTATGTGCAACTTTTTTATTTCCAGTCAGAAATACACCCGGAATGTCCTACCGGGGAGCTGGTGTGGCCATGATTTTCATCAAAGTCAATCGATCTCGGCGGGATTATCTAACAGAATGCACCGGATTTGAGTTGGTTCGAACCAGAGAAAAGGGCCGTGCAGGTTGTCATTAAGTCTAGTACAGTAAACAGACTTAATTATACCAGTATTGCGCGTATTTTGCGAGCCAGTTTAAACTCTATCGTCTGTAAAGTTAGCGTTTGGTTTCGAAAGAGTTGACGTAGTTGCTAATTGGCTTATTGTGAATGGCGGTTAAGGTCGGCCGGCTGTGCGTCGCGTCCAGCAGTCGAATAATATTGCACATAGTAGTACGAGCTGCTAACCACTCGGTCGCAGTGATCGACATCAACATCTGACTATAGAACGGTGCTCAGTACAGCGATCTAATTCCGAATAATGTGAGTTGAGTTGAGTTTTTCTGCTTACCAGTTCATGGCTCTGTGACCAATTAAATCACTTTAACCGACGTAGATCACTTTTATGATAGTGTTGTGTCTGGGGAAAGGTTCCCGCCACCTTCCTAGTCGCTCAACTGAATTTCTGACCTCCACTGTAAAGCTCCTTTAGCCGCCGCACTTGAGGTCGTGCAGTGATAGAGGTCGAGCATTCTAACGACTTCTTCTGATCTAAGTTCCTGCAGTTGCGGTACTTTGCCGCGGAAAGTGGTGGTCATGCGGCGGAGTGTTTTGAGGCTGGGGTGGTTCTCGCCTTGAGAAAATCTTGTTAAAAATATCAAGCGTACGTACAAAAGATGCTTTCAATTCTGCACTCTCGAAACGTTTTTGACATCCACATTCATTTTTTGGCAACCTAAACTCGGCTCTCCGTCTAAAATCTAACATAATTTTAAAGAATTTTAGCTGCTTTGCTGAAGCAGCGCATACGTACCAGATCATCAAGCGTCGAGCGTCTCTCATCTGCTATGCCGTCTGAGCTTCCTTTTCAATCCATTGCCCAATTAACGAGAAATGTTTGCGTCTTCTGGGTTATTTAATGGCTCCATATTTTATATTTTCTTCGCCAAATCAAAGACTTTATTCAACTTTACTGACCTCCAAGTCCAAAAAAAAATATGCGCTCTTTGCCGTTTTCCCACCATCATGACGCCTGGTCACCTTAAAAGCTTTGTCTTTGCATTCTGTGGCTTACCTAAGCACGCATTCCTCTATACTCTGGTGCAGGTGTGTACATATTCGTTTACTTATCGCAACTTCAATAAGCCGCCTCATTCATTTGCCTTTGTTTTGTTATTCTCTTTTATAGATGATATCCCTTAGTTCACGCTTCGACTGTTTTATTTTAGATGAGAGTTGATGGTGAGCTGATGTTGTTTTTTTTTTATACACTACTACTCGCCTATATATGCAACACAAATACATATAATACATACATACAAACATGCATTGCTTTAGTCCTTTCGTTAAGCTCAATTGAATTCCTTCGTCTTTTAGTTCTGAACTCAATTGCTCTGAGCACATACTCGGACATACACGTATGTAGGTGTATGTATGTGTGTGTACACAAATACAGAAATTTATTTATAACTTTTTACTCCTGTTTATCACAATATTTTGCATTCCTGGAATGTTGTTTTATGACAACAATTAGCGGCGTTTCGACCACCTCCCGCTTGGCCAGTTGGTTGGCATGTCTGTAAATCTGGATTGGTGTCATTGTTGAAATTACTTCCACTCATCTGCACCGTAGTCAATTAAGTGGAATAGTTTTGTGGTTGAGTGTAGAGCAATTCGATATTTCTTTTTTTTTTCAAATATTTCATAAATAGTGATAGAGACGGAGATTTGACACACAAATTGATGAGACCTCATGTGCTTCGCAGTTTTTTTCCCTTACACTGAAGTCTAGCCAACAGCCGGGTGGTTAGCGTTGCGTACGGCTTTTCTGAAAGCTAGCGTTCGAGTACTACCGGTTCCACCAACATCTAAAAAATAGAAATTTAAATTTTTCTAATTGTGGACGCCCCTCGATGGCCTCGATGGGGAATGCCAAGCCCTCCGAATGTATTTCTGATATGAAATAAAAAAAGCTCTTCAAAGAAATCCATCGCGCGTTCGGAGGCGGCTTGGTATAAACTGTAGATCCTTCCATTTGTTGAGAAAAAATATCAAGACGTGTCTCAGCGGTTAGGAAGCGCCAGTTATACATTACATAAATATAACCAATAAACCTTGCCAGATTTTTGTTGAGCTTCAATGGAATAGTAAGAGCCGCATCACTATTTTTTTTAGTGCTGCTGACTAAGACCTCTACTGTGTTGTCTTCATTTCACTTCAAAGAAATCAATTTTGAGCTCTTGGTTGGTGGCTGGTTGAAAGACGGAGGTTGAGTACCTGACCACAAGCAATGCCAGTGTTCGACCTACATCCTCAGCTAAGCCATTCTTAGTTTCATCAACTTGGTGGAGACTTATAAATCGAGTCCAAAAGCCTTTTCCAACCTCAGTGAACTCTAGACAACCGTGTAGATACCGCACTTCTCATGAAAGGATATCTAGTTTAAAACAACTCAATCTATAATACTACCGCCTCTAGTAGACCTTGCTACAGCTCAGCAAACGATTAGCTTGCTGGTTTCGGAGAGCTTTCTCCCTTAAGTTCTCGTATATACCGAACGTTTCGACTAGCCTTCATCAAAAGGGTCAACAGTAGATGACGGAGCGGAACCACGTGGAATTGATCGAAGTGAACAGTACTGTCTTTATTCCTACTAAATAGAACCTCCAAAAGCATAACAACCGGCGTATTAACCAGACAATGTGTTGTGAGGACGGACTCATGGTAGTAGGATGGAATTTTTGTCAAACTACTTATCTGCCACTGACCGGCTCTCAGTGCCTTACGTTATTGCTTCGAAGAGCTTCCATCATCATCATCATCATCATCATTAATCTCCTGAACTACGTAAAATAAACCTAGTGGTTAGCGCATCTGCGCATCAAAAGTGAGAGGAGTTTTCTTCATAGAATCAACATGGGTGTCATCACGAGATCAGAATTTCGTGATCGAGCAACCTGTTTAACTAGTCGGAGTGCGAGACTCTTTTGCTATTGTAATATTGCGTTAATATCGTTAAAAAGCAGGTAGCACAGTTAGTTTAAATGATCGAAATCATCTAACGGTAGGTCCAGAAAATGAGTTGTTTCGACGTGTTCGAACCAAAGAGAGAGTAGACGTGGCTGCGGGCACTCATTGCACACTTCAAATACGTTAAATAAGTCACGTTCGACTCTGGATAGATAGAAATCAAGTCCACTACAATATGCAACACCTTAATTCGCTCGGATTTCACAATCCAGTGGGTGATAGTCGGGTTCCAATCACGCTATTCATGAGCAGTGATCATTCACGTCTAGCGGTTATACTGCGAGCATAGATGTTTCGTCATAAAGGTGTGAACCAGCGACTAAAGTAACGGTTTTCCCTATCATCTTTATCACGCGTCTCGCTAGTTCTCAGCGCTCACTTTGTGTAGGGTTATTTATACCCAAACCGACCTAAATTTAGCAACTTGAGTGTGATATTACGGCTCTCTAAGTTCAGACAAACGCGTTAGTATGTGGAGTAAAGGAGTTCTTGCTATCGAATGTCATGTTCAGTAACTCTGCTTTGCCATGGTCACTATCGTCACTAGCCAGTACTCCTTCGTCTAATTGATGAAAGAAGTCGCCCGTTATTTCGAGGCGAAGAGTCTTGGGTTTTCGGCACTTAAGAAGTGCCAAAAGTCGGTGAATGTCTGTTCTCGAACTAAGGCCATTAATATTCTCGCCAGACGCCAAGTCCGAATTTGGTGGTGGAAGCAGTTCGAAGATAAAAAAACTGAAAATCAGTTGATGGGGTCCTTGACCGGTTAATTTATATTCGCTTAGTCGGACTAAGTCTATTTCTACGTAAGCAGTTCACACACAATTGTTTAAGGTCAAGAGTTAATTGGGTCTTTTTGGAGCTTAGTGCGGTGGTCTCATTTTATAGAAGTCATGCTGAGATTTTGGGCTTAGAGCGTATGTGAAGGACGGAGCAGCATCTAGTGTTTTCACTACTAAAGAAAGGAGAGATAATGAACGATATTACTCAACCTTGTTGTTGGCGGGTATCCTAAGTGTCAACGGTGGAACGGCTCAGCCTCGTTACGAGTATCATTACATTGGTCAAGGGCGGTATGGGTACCTGGATGAGGTAGTCTCTGTAGGGTTTTTAGCATTTAGCGTTTCGTCCAAGACGAGGGCGATAGATGGTCTGGGCCTACTCAATAATCCCTTGAAACTCCTATCCAGGAAATCAAGCGCCGAGTTGGTGTTTAGTAGTTGGCGTAGGCGACGGATCACTCTTTTGTTGGTTCGATCTACTAAAGAGGGACGGTGAAAAAAGTTGTTCGATGACGATGATCGGGTGTAAAACTCATTCGGTGGTCGCGCGCATCGTCGTGTTACAGAGAGATGTGGTGGTGCCCAAAGCTTTTTTGGTCAGAAGAGAGAGAGAGGATGCAGGTTTTTAAACGCCTTTCTACTTTGGTACGGTTAGGAACATCTATACCAGTTGTTGTATCGCCATGCTGAGATCCCTGATGTGGGAATCACCGCATCGCTTGCTGTTCGCCCTTTTCTTGAATTATATTTTATTTTCGCGAATATTCTTTAGCCCTTAAGACCCCAATTAAGCTTTATAATTTATAATTTTTTATATGTATTTTTCATATATTGCAGAAAATTTACTACAGAACTGTTATAACGGTACTTTAACAAGCGATAATATCAGTTCGGACATTGTTGATGATCCTGGCGACGGTTTGGGACCACTACCGCCCAAATGGGAGACGGCCTACACCGAACGTGGTGAATTATATTTCATCGAGTAAGAAATATTAAAAAAAAAATAGTATTTGATTAACCCAGTTGATGCCAGGATACTTACATATATGCTTCCTACCCTAATTTTCTCTTTCTTAGTCACAACACCGGCACCTCCCACTGGCTCGATCCACGCCTTTCGAAATTCCAAAAGAAATCACTTGAGGACTGTGGCGACGATGAGCTCCCCTATGGCTGGGAGAAAATTGAAGATTCCCTCTATGGCACCTACTACATAGATCACGTGAATCGCCGCACACAGTACGAGAATCCCGTACTGGAGGCCAAACGTCGGGCAGCGGAACAAAGACAAAAGCAGCAACAACAACCGCCACCACCGGCACATCCCAATGCAGCACAGAATATGTCAGGTGCTGTTGGTGATTACTTACAACAACAACTGCAGCAGCTCCAACATCATCAAACACTACCACCACCACCACCGCCGGCAGCATCCACGTCATCAAACGAACACCAACAGACCCAACAACGTCCACCATCAACACCGCTGACCACGCAGTTGGTGAATGGTGGTAGCATCGGCAGCGGTAGTGTTGGTGCTGACGAAGGCGATCGCGTTGCAGTAAGCGGCCTTGGCAGCAATAATATGGTGGATGTATCACAACGCGCTATGCAGCCGCCACCAGTCAACACGGCTCCACCAACCGCGCACTTGCCATACAAATTCACACGCAATCCCGCCGAGATGCAAGGTGAACGCATAACCGCGTCGCTAGTTAAGTCAGCACGCGGTCTGGGCATCACCATTGTCGGTGGCGATGATGGCGCAGAGGAGTATTTGCAAATCAAATCGATTGTACCGCACGGCCCGGCGTGGTTGGATGGTCAACTGCAGACGGGCGATGTGCTGGTGTATGTGAACGATACTTGCGTACTCGGCTTCACGCATCACGAAATGGTGAGTTTCTCTTATATTCAGACGAAATTCTGTCAGTCCGTTTGATCTTTGCTGGCTACTTCGTGTGGTAAGTGGCCGTCTGTTACCGGACGATAGTTGGTTTACAATTTGACTTGTTTTCTCCTCAATATTTCCTGACATACTTGGTATTCCGACTGAGATGATCTGGTCTTAAGTCTTAGCAGCAACTTGGTTGGCTCGGTTGCTTGCTAGATCTCTTTTGGATGACATCGAGGTCCCAGACATAGCATGACTGACAGCGAGATACTTAGGGATGCTTGGGTATTTTTTAATCATCAAGGTTATATCATTTCAAGATTCCCTGCCCCGTTTCCGACAGCGAGGACGTCTGATAGAGAGGTTTCTAAAAACCGAGAGAATCCCTGGAAAAAACGGCTTGCTTTGAACAGATGTAATTTGAACTCATGTCTTCAATCAGACAGAGACCACATGTGAGTAAAGACAGTTATCGGAAAAGAGATCTGCATGGAAATTGCCGGCATTAGACTTCCGATAGAGAGATGACATGTCATGTGATTTATTCAAACTCGATCTCAAGCGTCTGGCGTAATGTTTCTAGCTACGAGGTCTGTGAAATAAGACAGTTTTATACGATATATCCTGTTTAAAGCTGATGCGTTGTCAGCGGAATCGCTAATACGAGTATAAGCTCTAAGGTTGAAATTCTAAGATGGGGGTTTCATAAAGTGGAGAATGGGTTTTTATTGCCTCTACTTATCAGCGATAGATATGGCCTGCGGCCGACAGTCCTTGCACGTCAGTCACAGACAGTCTGTCAGTACTTTCATCATCTCTCCTCAAGTGAATGTCGTCCTGGAAATACATTCATCAAGCACACGAAGAAGAACTGAAGCTGGCCCTAACTAATATAGGCACAACTAAAATCTAAATGTTGTAGATGACTTGACTCCTCTGAACGTACTTAGTTCCGCAAAAAAATAGCAGTCATCTTTCTCTTCGATCCGAACCCGTCGAAACGCTCGTCTCTTAGATCTCCCGTTAGCAGCGTTGTTGACTAGCTTCGCCGACCTCTATGCGGAGCTACCTAATCCGCCGCCAACATAAAGAAAACATAGCTTCCGTCTCTGGGAACACATTCCAGCCGAGGCTTGAAAATCTCATCTCATTTAACATAACTTCGAAACCCGCGGCTCAACCTAATATATTCTATTTTCCATTCTTATAGGTCAACATCTTCCAGTCAATCTTGCCTGGCGAGACCGCCACATTGGAGGTATGCCGCGGCTATGCCCTACCATTTGATCCGAATGATCCCAACACCGAGGTGGTCACCACAATAGCAGTAGACGGCGTAAGTGTTGCGGCCACGGACAAGCAACGGCGCATGCTGCTCGATCTGCACATGGATGGTAACTACAATTTTCTCGATATTAGCGGCGGCGGTGGCGGCGACAGCGCATCGAAAGCACATACACACAATCATATGCGGGCTCAGCAATCACCAGCTACGGGCGGCCTGAATGACGGTTTCATATTGATGAAGAAACCAGAATTGCAAGTACTCACCTTTACTATAGTTAAGGGCGCGATGGGCTTCGGGTTTACGATTGCGGACTCTGCTTATGGTCAGAAGGTGAAGAAGATATTGGATTATAATTGTTGTACACAGTTGCAGGAGGGTGACGTACTACTGGAGATTAACGGTATTGATGTGCGTCAACAGAGTCACCTTGAGGTGGTGCAGATACTAAAGGATTGCTCAAAAACCGAACCGACGCATGTCAAAATACAACGTGGCGCCGCGTCAACGAACAGCGCCAGTGCATCGCCTTCTGGTGGCATTTATAGCAGCATCACCGCACCGAATAATCCACCGCCAGTAACGAGCAACGCAAGCAGTAGCGGTTTGGGGAATGTCGCAAAATTGCGCAAGAACTTCACGTCGGCGCTCTTTCGCAGTAAGACTCCCACCGCCGACCTCTATAGTACGCAACAGAAAGAGATTCTGCCCATACGACCAAAAACACCATTGGTTGATACGCGACGCACGCGTGCGCAAACGCCAAATGAGGAACTACAGCAACACGGTAACAATATGAACGCCGGCGCGGGCTCTTTAACAAACGACGAAGGCCGATTGTCAGCAAGTAAACATCAGTTGGACGCCACTGCGCACAAATCCACAAATAGTCTGCAGGAGATTGAAGCCCTTAGTCAGGAGATACCTTACTTGGATCCGTATCCGAAATTAGTCACCAGTTTGAGCGAGCGTTTGGCTGGCGCAACATTGCACAACGACGTCGGCGGCAATGGCGGTGGCAACGCCGTCGGCATGCATATGGCAACAAGTTACCACCACCCGGTTGGTCTTTCCATACCCTCTAGTGTTGTGGACACAATGCGTTATGATCACCAAGAATACGCAACGGCTGGTATACGCGGCGTTGGTGTTGGTGGTGGTGGTGGTGGTGGTGCCATTGGCAATGGTATTTATGGCATATCGCCACTACCCAACACTATAGGCAATTTCTATGCACCCCAACAATTGCCGACACCACCGCATCTGAGCATTTCCGGTGCTAGCTATGCGCCGCCCACCACGCCGCTTAGTCTGAGCACAACAACCGCTGCACAACACAATATCATGCATCATCATCCAATGCAATTGGCGCCACCACCACACCCGCACCCACATCCCCATCCGCACGTCTCACAGTACTCACCGGCCTCTTCATTGCACGGTCCAACGCCACTACAAGCGGCGCACATACAAAACGAACGCATGCAAAAACGTGTCAACGAGCTGTTGAGTGATCGTCGGCGTGTCGGCTTCACCACATTGGATATGCCGCCGACGCAAAAACAATCACCCGTTTCGTATGCGCAACAGACGTCGTCTTCGCAACAGATACAGCATTCGCCAGCTGTTAGCAGTGTATCACAACAGGCGCCGCTGTCTTGGCTTGGCGCAGGCGGCTACAATAATACCCTGCAGTCGTCACCTGGCGGCAATTTACCATTCGTGCAACGTAATGGCGACTTGCTGGACGAATTGACGACCGAGCAATATGAGTTGAGTGAGGTTACTTTGGAGCGTCAGGCTTTGGGCTTTGGATTTCGCATTGTTGGCGGCACCGAAGAGGGTTCACAAGTGACCGTGGGTCATATTGTGCCCGGTGGTGCTGCAGATAATGATCAGCGCATTAATACCGGCGATGAGATATTGAGTATAGACGGCATTAATGTGGTAAGTTTGAGGGAGTATGTGTAAAGTAGTGTATATATTGTCATTGATTTATTTTCCTCCTCCTCCTCCAACACCTGCTACACCTAACCACCAAAAAATAAAATAATAAATAAATAAATAAAAATCAAAAAAAGGTTAACTCGTCACACCACAAAGTCGTTTCGCTCATGGGTGAAGCGGCACTGCGTGGCCAAGTGACCATGATCTTGCGTCGTCGCCTGCGTTTAGCACCGCAACAACAACATCAACATCACCGATTGTCATTACCAACAACACCACCACCACCACCAGCGGCGTCAATAATAAATTCAGCACTGCGCAATACATACCGCTATCCCTACGATGTCATAGTGAGCCGACACGAATCGGAAGGTTTCGGTTTTGTCATCATATCCTCCTCAAATCAATTCTACGGCTCTACCATAGGTGATTTTGGCGAACAAAAAATAATATTGCAAAAAAAAAATATTCTAATTGATTTCCTTTGCAGGCAAACTAATACCCGGCAGTCCGGCCGATCGTTGTGGTGAGTTGAAAGTGGGCGATCGCATTATAGCGGTGAATCGTATAGATATAGCCGGCATGTCACATGGTGATGTAGTCAATCTTATCAAAGAATCCGGTCTACATGTCCGCTTGACAATCGGCTGTCCGAAGGATGCTGCTTTGACGACACCGCCACCTCCTTCTAATACAGCATTGCATGTGAATTCGGCGCAAGTATCGCCGGGACAATTGTCACAGAGTCACTTAATATATGCGCCGCTAACAACAATACAACAACCGTTGCAGCAGCAACAACATAAAGCACAAGTTTCGCCGAATTTATTGAATAGCGCTGACGCTGGTGGGAGCTACTTTATGGAGCAACCCCGTACAAGTGTGGCGCCAACATCATTTGTTCAGCAGCAGCATACACAAGCACACTTGCAGCAGCAACAACAACAACAACAATATCAGCATGAACATCAGCAGCAGCAGCAACAACAACAACAACAGCTGCCACAACAATTATGACTTTGAGACTTACGTATAAGGCTCTATAAAAGTTTTCTGTAGCGCAACAAATTTTATCGCTTTGTATAAACAAAATACATACATACATACATACATACATACATATATGAATAATGTTATTTTATAGCTGAATCAGCACTTTTACACACATAAATTAATGATAACGGTGTTTTTATACAAATAATTTAATATTTATATAGTATATAGTATAGGTTTATTTATATTTATAATGTATACATATCTACTGCGCGCATATAAACATACACATACATACATGCATACATTTCATATATCACCCATGGAATGCAGAAACTCCTAGCAATTTTTGTGATTTTTAGGTTATTTTCCTTAAAATTATTTTTATTTTTTGAATATTGAGTTTTTTATTATTATTTTATTTTTTAATAAAATAATTATACTTTAAATAATTTCTCCGTTGAAATTTTTGTACAATTTTTAAAATATTATTATAAATAAACAGTTTCTCCGCTAAAATAAAAAAATTAAATAATAATAATTTTGCAATATTTCAACAATTTTTTTTTACTCAAAGAATTCTATTTGAAATAATTTTTCCGTTAAAATTAAAAAAAAAAAAGTGTTATAATATTTTCTCGAAATACATACATATTATTTTAGAACATTTTTGTACAATTTTTTTAATTATATTAATAAAAAAAAGTCTGTTTCAAACAGTTTCTCCGCTAAAATTAGAAAATAAAATTATTATTATTGTTTTAGCAATATTAATAAAAAATAATTATTCTTTGCCACATTTTTTATTGAAAGCAAGAATCCTAAAGCGACTGTAAATGAATTCTTTTAAATTAAATTAATTAATTTTTTTTATGTATGTAAATATACGTGTAATATATTTTTTTCCATATATTTTTGGCTGCAAAAACAGAGTATTGTTTATGCCTTTTTTAGGTTCTAAAAAGCTCGTAACTAATATTATTTTTTACTTAAAAAACATAAAAAAGGCCTAAATTTGATATTATTAAATTGTTTAAATATTAAAAAAGGAAATGATATCAGTAGCTACTGTTAAATACAATATAAAGTTTTGTTGGAGAGATTCTCGTTTTTTAAGTTTTTTAAAAGCTTAGATAAATGCAAAGAGTATCAACTACTTTTTCGAATTCTTTTAGGCTTCTAATTTGTAAAATTTGTTACTGGAATTTTTTACAATTTCAGCTTTTTTTTTTTGTTTTTTAAGGTTTTTTTTTTATTTTTTTAAGTTTCTTTTATTTTTTTTTTTATTTTTCAATTTCTTTATTTTATTTTTATCTGTAATTGAATAACATGCAATTTTTTTACTTCTGCGGAATTTTAAATTTATTATTCATCATTTTTCTATATTTGTACATTCCATTAGAGATATGTATACATATGTATGTACGTATGTTTGTATGCGCACCGATAAGAAAATTAACTTATAAATAAAAATAAAATAGAGAAGAAAAAAGAAAACAATGGATAAAATAATGAAAAAAATAAATAAAATTAATACAAAAATAAAAACATTGTAAAATATATATAAAAATTTTAAAATAAAAAATGGAAAGAAAATAAAAAATTTAAAGGAAAGTTAAAAAAATTATAAAATAAAAAACTTAAAGTAAAATAAAAAATTTAAAGTAAAGTAATAAATTAAAAAAAAAAAATTAAAAAAATAATCAAATAAAAAATTTTAAGTAAAATAAAAAAATATCAAATAAAAAAAATATAAAATTAAAAAAAATATAAAATAAAAAAAATATAAAATAAAAAAAAAATATAAAATAAAAAAAAATATAAAATAAAAAAAAATATAAAATAAAAAAAATATAAAATATAAAAAAAATATAAAATAAAAAAATATAAAATTAAAAAAAATTTAAATAGAAAAATTAATAAAATAAAAATATTAAAGTAAAATAAAAAAAAATTATTGTATATTTTTTAATTAAAAGAATGACAAAAGTATTAACGGAAAAATAAAAACTAAAAACTAAAATGAAATACTTAAATAAAATAAAAAATAAATAGTAATAGTAATAAAAAAATTAAAGAAAATTAAAAATGTGTTTAAAAAAACAATAAACAAAAATAATACATAATTTTTAAATAAAATAATAAATAAATAAAAATTAAATGAAACAAAAAATAAATTTAAGTAAAAAATAAAATAAATTAAATTAAAAAAAGAACAAAAGTATATAAACATAAAATATTAAGAAATAATAAGAATATTAAATTAAATTAAATTTTTTTAAAAACAATGAAAAAAATTTTTTTTTTAATTAATTAAAAGAAATATCAATTATTGACTTAATTGCATTTACATATGTACATTACCCATATTTTATCCCAAAGACTGAAATTTAGCCCCGTGCGATGTTTAAATGCGTCAAAAGCCACAAAGAGAAAAAAAATAATAAAAAACATATTAAAGTTAGAGAAAAAGAAGAAAATTTTAGAAAATCATAAATATTTTACCAGATAAGCATTTCTCTTCATAAAAATACATATACAGAATTGTTACAATTATTGAAACTACTTATAAATAGTTTTTATATGCAGAAAATCTTTTGCATTTTTTTTTACTTAGTTTGTACTTTATATGTAAATTTTTTTTAAATTAAATGGAATATGAGAAAATTTAGCTGTAGTCAATAACTGTATGATTGATTGCTGGTGCTTGAATAATAAACAAGTAAAGTTTCAAATAATCCTCTAATGTACTAAAAACAATTGGCATATCACTTTAATACATGTACATACAAACATAGATACATAATTAAAAAGTTCACCCTTTAGCCTTGAGTCACCAGTGTCCCTTATACAAAAACATCTTAAACGGTATTTTTATTATTAATGTTAAAATAAAATAAATATGCTGTATAAAAGTAAATTGTAGTACTGAGAATATTGAAAATTTTAAATTATGAAAATATACTTGTATACATAATAATAATAATGAAATTATTGCTACATTTTAATTCTGATATTTAAACTGGAATGTATGTATTTTAAAAATTTCTATACATTAACTATATAAGAATAAAACGCATTTTCCTTTACAAAATAATTAAGCATCGCTTTGTTTTATTTATGTGCCGTGAGATTAATTAATTTTTTTTTTTTAGAAAAATACTTATTTTTTCAAGCTGTCTCTCCACAAATCTATGAACTTCGGCAGTTTTCATGAGACTTGACATCAAAAAAAAAACCAATAATAATTTTCGAACATATATACATACGTATATATTTCAATTGAGATGTTTAATTAATTTATTTTTTTGTTCAATACAAAATGGAAATTAAATATAATTAATGCTACACTTTTACACTGATTCAAGTCAATTTATATAGGTTTAATCTTGAAATGCAAACCAATAAGTGAAAACACCAAACACTTTAAATCCTGCACCAAATAGTAGAAACAACGTAAACCCTCCGGATCCTTTGAACGATTCACATCTACAAGTGAACCTGTTTTTGATGTAGTGAAGGATATGTGTTCATCGCCTATGACAATTTCCAGCTCCTGAAATTTAGAAAAAGCGTATGCATACATACATACGAGTATATTGTGAATGCTGTAGCAACTCGGCATTTCACATTATTTACTAACCTGTCTACCCACACGATCCGGTGGCGGCCATGGCGAATCGTCTTCGGCCATAATTTCTGAATCTAGTATAATTCTTTTCAACTCTTCCATAACAGATTGATGCACGAAAGCCTCTTTCCGGATCATTGTGTCGTTTTTATAGTTGGAATTGTTGGCATAGCGTAGCTTGCCGTCTGGCCGAAACTCAAACTCCAGAAATTCATGGCCGAACTTACCCTTGTGGCCGACATAGTAACGTAAGTAGAAATCCTCTGTAGACATTGTGCTAAAATAATTGTTAAATGTTGAAATTAACTAAAGAAACTATATAAATTAATTATATTTTGCTTGCTAACCTATTTTTTCCGGGTTTTTATGCAGAGCCAATTGTCAAACTTTCTCCAAGTTTATTTTCGTGCTGCCAGACTTTTTCTCTATTTCAAATTATGTCATTCCTTATGCTGAGTTTACAGTTTACTTAGCATGTTACTTAAGCCAAAGAACGTATATGAACAAAGAACGTATATGAATATGAAGTGGCATGACGGTCTCGTAAATTGGCTTTTTCAGAAAGAGCGTAAATTAAAGGTCCAATCTCAGGGTTTCGCGTCCTCTTCACACCATTCGTAGTTCGGAGGGGCCATATGTTGAAGCAAAACCAAAATTTCGCTTGAAAGGGTATCAAAACAGAATCAAAAGCCCAGTTGTATGAGAAATTGGTCGACGAAAAATGGTGTGAAGAGGACACGAAACCCTGAAAACGATTCTACCGCATTTGCATAAAGACCGTATGAGTCTTGTGGCTTCTTATTCATATACGTTCTTTGGATGTAGTTGTTGTCGTGAAAATTTTACTAACAAATATTATAAAGCAAGGCTTTTTTTATTATTAGAAAATTACGTTCGAACGGCAGGCAATTCCGTAATGCCTAAACACTTGTTCAGGTCATTAGGTGATTGTTCTGTTGGTTTATTATTTATTTTCAGGTTTAAATTTTGATAAATTAAATTAATTTTCTGCGGTCTGGCATCGATGATTCACAAACACCGCATTGCCAACTAGATGTCAACCAATTGCTTGTTAACCAAAAAAATAAAAACAGCTGTGATTTAATTAACAAGCATGGTCGCAGAAATTAAAGGAATTTTGAAGGAAGTTCGTATTAAACTTTTGAAACAAACGTCCTTGAAACCGTTAGAAATTAATAACACTCGCCACCGTGATGAAATTGCAAAAAAATCGAATAGTTATTATCTGTAACCATGTTGTTGGTAATAACAGCAGCTGCATTAGCAGGAACTTTGGCGGCAGCAACTATGTTGACAGCAGCGACGTCATTCGCTACAAAGTAGATGAAGAAAGTAGAAGCAAAATATCAGCAGCGAAAAGTAAAAATGTAGATTGCAGTTGAAGAACTTGTATTTGTGGAAAATTAAAGGATTTATTGCTTAAGGGTTTTAAAGTTAATAAAAGTAACAATTATCGCAGCTTTAAGTTGGATACCAAGCAGGTAAGTGAAAAGTTTTCGTTTTTTGTAGAATATATGAAGTTGGAAATTTTTGCGATTACGTACATACATACATATTTATAGCGTAAAGAGTGTGAGATGATGTAAAATGTTTAGCTGTAAAGCTGTAGCCCGATAGGACGGTATCTCATATGGAGACGGGGTTACAGAGGTGTTTGTCAGAATATATGGATATACATACATATGTATAGCATTTGCGGTTTTTAAAACGCAATTTTTGATCACTTCACTTAAATGCTGGCAAATTCCAATTGTTTACAACACATTCATACACATCTATATCCCTATAACGGTTCATCAAGTTGGGGGAATGGCGCTGAGGTACAAAATGGTTGTGCTTAAAAAACAGGAATTCGTTTCGCGCCGAAAATAATGTGTAAAGAGTGAAACAGGAAAGCATTTGTTGAGGCTACTGCTATGATTATATCGGTCAAAGTAATTTTACAAAGTCCATTGGGGCTGTTAAGATGACGTTCGCCATGAATAAAGGAGCGAATGGGAGTGCTGCTACTCTCAGTCATGCAGGATAGCATTTTAATTGTCGTGCACGTGCATTGAATGCTCCGTTTTTCAATGCGAACCCAGAGCATAACAGGAGAGTCCATTCTTTGCAATGTTTTCGTGTCTGTACCGATATAGAATACTCTTGGTATTGTGCTTTCGTGTCGAGTGAAAGTGCATCGTAACAACGTGTCATAGAGAGCATGTGCTGCGCGACGTGGTCATTCATTCATACCTATGTACTTATGTATATGTTCGCTTATATGCATTTACATATAGTTTAACTCTAAAACTAGGAAACTCGGTCGCGCAACATAGTTGCGCTCATCACCATGTACCAACCACTGCTACATATACGACGCCTGTAAAATTGAGTAATGTTGGGGCTTGTACACATTTTATACATAGCAAGGGAACTGGTTAGCTCGACTACGTAACCGGAAATGGGAGTTGAAAGCCAAAAAAAAAAAAAAACAAAAAACTATTGCGTTTATGTGCTTGTATTTTGCAAGTGCAATAAAACTGCTCGTCTCTGTTTTTCGCCTGATGGTTGTTGACATATCGTGTGCGCTATGTTTTGTAAAATCGATGACATTGAGTGCAACATTGTAGAGCGCCAGCTGCTCCCGAATGGTTACTGCTGTGTTGCAGTATCTATTTGGCGTTGTTATTATACTTAAATTTACAAAAGCAATGTAACCAAAGTTCCAGCAACATTTTTTCATGTAATTTTTGACTTTGTGCAGATTTGGTTGTAAGGGCAATGAACGCGCTGTGTTTTCCAATAAACCTGGTCAACGAATTAAATAAAAAAAAATATATACACACATATGTATGTACGTATAGAGTCTGAAAATTTCTTCAATGCAATCTAAGTGTACTGACAATGTTGTGATTTTTTTTTTTTTTATCAGTACCGCTTTTACCGTTACTGTCAAATTACTTTGGTGTGAAATCCTGCATGGTATTGTAATAACCAGCTAGGAGTGTGGTGTGGTATACATAATATATATGTTGCAGACACCCTTAGCCGTCGTCGTGACAAATCTTCTATGCACAAAGGCGTCGAACAGTCGGTATTTGGGACAGTAAATGTAAAGTTACTTTGTTGTGCAGGAGCATTGTAAGCAGTTTGTTGAAAGGTTATTGCAGGGAATTAAAGAAAAAATTGCTACTTGCAAATATGAAAATTGATAGCCAATAGAGGCAGTGTTTCTACTTTATGTAAAGTGAGTGCATAAATGTTTGTATTTGATTGAAGTTGGTTATTTTTCATAAGAAGTTTCATATATTGACATACCTACATACCTATATACATACGTGTTTGCATGTATTGTATATACAAAATTTAATTAAATCGGCATATGATAATGCTAAAAATTACATCATATATCTCTAATAAGTAGAATATTACAGATTCAGTCGGAAATGTTCTAATTTTTTTTTTATAATCACATTGTTATACTAATAAATAAATGCACAGAATAATTATAAAGTATATTGCCTATTATATAATTAATTTTATTTAATAACTCTTTTACTTTTCTTTACAGCAACCTCAGGTTTCTTAAACACGGGTTTTCAAACAATTTTCAGCATCCTCATATACAAAACGTAACAAGGTTTTATAGCAAAGTATTGCTTTTTGTATGAGTAGGCAAATTTGCATTTTCTATCTACATACATACGTACTTATAAATCCACACAGTTCTCCAACTATACATACTACAAACATATATAAATTACGTCGATATAACTTTGGCTGTTGAACTATTAGGCTAGATACAACAAATGGATGGAGCATTTTAAATAACAAATAACAAAGGTAAATAAAAAAATGTAGTTATAAGGAAACATAATTATAAAAAATAAATCTACCTATAAATAGATAATAATAAAAAATTTATTAGAAATATAATCATGAAAGGAATAAGGAAAATATATATCAAATGACATTAGATAAATAAATATAAAATAAATAAATATAAAATAAATAAAACAAAATAAAAATTAAAAAAAAAATTAAAAAAAGAATAAAAAAAAAATTAAAAAATTTAAGAAATTTAAAATATTTAAAATATTTAAAAAAATTTAAAAAAATTTAAAAAAATTTAAAAAATTTATAAAATTTATAAAAATTTAAAAAAAATTAAAAAAAAATTAAAAAAAAAATTAAAAAAAAATTTAAAAAAAATTAAAAAAAAATTAAAAAAAATTAAAAAAAAATTAAAAAAAAAATTTAAAAAAAATTAAAAAAAAATTAAAAAAAAATTTAAAAAAACATTTAAAAAAAAATTAAAAAAATAAGAAAAATTAAAAAAATATAATATTTACATCTAAAAATATAATTTATATGAAGAAAATAAATATATATAAAAAATAAAAATATAATAAAATATAAAAAATTTAATTGAATTTAAAAATAATTTATAAATAAATTTAAATGTATTATTAATAAAAACAAATATAAATGAAATATAAAAAAGAGAGATAAAAACTAAATATAAAAAAGAAAGAAAGATATAAAAAAATAAATAAAAAAAATTTAGAAAATAAATATAAAAATATAAATATAAGAAAATAAAAATATAAGAAAATAAAAATATAAGAAAATAAAAATATAATAAAATGAAAATATAATAAAATATAAAAAATAAATAAAAAATATAAAAAACATACATATATATAAAAAATAAAAATATAAAAAATAAAAATATAAAAAATTAAAATATAAAAAAAAAAAATATAAAAAATAAAAAAAAAACATAAAAATAAAAATATTTAAAATAAAAATATTTAAAATAAAAATATAAAAAATAAAAATATAAAAAATAAAAATATAAAAAAATAAAAATATAAAAAAATAAAAATAAAAAAAAATAAAAATAAAAAAAAAAATTAAAAATAAAAATAAATATAAAAAAAAATAAATATAAAAAAAATAAATATCAAAAAAAAAAATGGATATAAAAAAATAAATATAAAAAAATAAATATAAAAAAATAAATATAAAAAAAATAAATATAAAAAAAATAAATATAAAAAAAATAAATATAAAAAAAATAAATATAAAAAAAAATAAATATAAAAAAAATAAATATAAAAAAAAATAAATATAAAAAAAATAAATATAAAAAAAAATGAATACAAAAAAATAATGAATATAAAAAAATAATAAATATAGAAAAATAAATATAAAAAAATAAAAATAAATAAAATAAATAAAAAAATATAAAAAAAAATTAATATAAAATAAATTAATATTAAAAAATAAATATTAAAAAAAAAATAAATATAAAAAAAGGAAATATGAAAAACGTTAAAATAAAAAGAAATAAATATAAAAAAGGATATATAAAAAAATTGATAATAAATATTAAATAAATATTAAAAAAAAAAAATAAATATAAAAAAGTAAATATAAAAAGATGAAGTTTTAAAAAATACATCATTTTTAGATTTTATACAAAAAATAAAATAAAATATGTTTCCGAATTATATATTAAATCATATTAATTTATATTAAAACAATAGTTTTGAGAAACTAACTTTTAAAGTATTGATTTTAAATTAAAAACACTTAATTTCAAAACTAAAATTTTTAATTTAATTTTACTTTCCTTTTTTTTTTAGTTTGCTTTAAATACATGTAATCGTTAAACTTTGATTGACGAAAAGTATACCCGACACGCTTGATAAAAAATATATATGTATATGTATACAAAACTTAATCTTAAAGAAAGGCAAAGGTCAGCAAGCGTCGTATAACAAACAATAGCAATACCAAACAAAAACGGGGGAATATATGCGGACATTCCTTAAGACGGGTGTGGTGTGCTCAAGCACATGCCGTTATTAACAATTCTCTACACGCACATACACACATACACCTGTGTAAATATTTAGTTACGTAGGAAAATTGAGTATTCAGTCGCTGTAGCGGAACTACAAACTGCATAAAAAAATAAAAGAACAAAATGCAATAAATATGTAATAGTAAATAAGAAAAATCCATGCAGTATATGAGGTAGCAACATACATATATCTGTACATTACATAGGTACATGAGCAAATAGGATATTTTTTGTAGCTCTCTGGCCAACAAGAAACAGCTGATCAGCGCATAGAAGTGTTATTGGATGAAAAATAATAATAAACAACACCGGCACATTTAAATGTGTATATGTAAAACCGTTATATGCAAGAGTTTTCAGGGCACTTGCCATTATACATACATTTAGATATAAAATTGTGCAGGGAAAAAGGAGTAAAAAACGCAAAAACATAATGTCTACCTACGAGCGCAGCGCTTGTAATTATAGCTATAGCAACAACAGCGAAAAGTTGCGCAGCAACGGCACCAACAGCAGCAGTAGTAGTAGTACTAGCAATGGATCGATCTGCGCAAATGCAGAAACGCGTACCGGCAGCAATGCAAGTAATAACAGTTATGCTAACAACAGCAGCAGCAGCAGTAGTAGTAGTTGTGGTAGTAGTAGCAGCAGCAGCAGCACAAATATATTGCAATTCCTCGCCATCGTAGTCGCCTGTGTCGTCTGCTATTGGAATAGTGCGCAATGTGAGTTGGTCTTCGATGATATCAGCGCTGTGCGCGATAATAAGGATTTACGCCCTTACACGCCGCTTCGTAACATTTTTCTCAACGATTTCTGGGGTACGCCAATGCGCAAAGAGCAATCACATAAATCCTATCGCCCGTTAACAGTGCTCACCTTCCGCTTCAACTATTGGCTACACGAACTCCAACCATACGGTTATCATATAGTAAATGTACTACTGCATATTGTTGTATGTTTGTTGTGGCGTCGTGCGAGCAGACTATTACTACAGCAATGCGCCGGCGTTGAGGGAGCAACGAATAGGGGCCAACAACATTGTAATAACATTTCACGTAATAGTATAAACACTTGTAGCTTCTTCGCGGCACTACTATTTGCCGTACATCCCATACACACCGAGGCTGTTACAGGTGTTGTCGGTCGCGCTGAGCTACTCTCTTCGATATTCTATTTGTGTGCATTTCTCTCGTATGCAAATGCTGCCACTGTGACACCGCCGCCTGCACAGCGACAACGTCAAGTGCAATTGCAGCAACGACAGCAACAGCTGCATCAGCAGCAGCAGCCACGAACGCGTTGGATATTGCTTTTCGTCAGTTTTGGCGCTTGTCTATTAGCATCGATGCTGTGCAAGGAGCAAGGCATCACTATAGCGGGTATTTGTGCGGCATATGAATTGTTTGTGGTGCAGCAAGTGCGTCCGCGGGAGTTGTGGATGTGTGTGCAACGTTTATTTGAGGATAGTACGCGAAGTTTAACACCACAACATGTAGCTAAAAGTAATGCCATCACCACCACCACCAATGGCACGGCAGTTAAAGCGACGTCATCATCGGCCGGCTCGGTGTATCGTGTTGGCGGTATTTGGAATGCCAGCTTGTTGCGTCGCTTGTGCTTTCTCATTTCCATTACGCTTGCCCTGCTGGTGGGTCGTGTGTATGTGATGGGTTCGCAATTGCCAGTTTTTACACGTTTCGATAATCCCGCCTCCGCAGCGGCCACACCAACGCGGCAGCTCACATTTAGCTATTTGATTTATTTGAACTTGTGGTTGATGTTGTTTCCCTGTGATTTGTGCTGTGATTGGACAATGGGTAAGTAGAAAAACCTTCATAACTAATAAAGTGTTAAAATTTCATATTTGAATATTGTGTAGAGCTGAAGTGGGACAATAGTTTTGAAATCCTTGTAGTATTATATTTTTAATTTTGGCAAAAACTTTTATTTATTTTTTTTTTAATTTTGGTAAAAACATTTTTTTTTTAATTTTGGTAAAAACATTTTTTTTTTTAATTTTTGTAAAAACTTTTTTTTTAGTTTTGGTAAAATTTTTTTTTTTAATTTTGGTAAAAACATTTTTTTTTTTAATTTTGGTACAAACTTTTTTTTTAATTTTGTTAAAAACATTTTTTTTAAATTCTTTTAATAACATTTCTCTTATTTTTTTGAAATAATTTTTTGTTTTAATTTTGGTAAAAATATATTTTTTTTTAAATTTTGGTAAAAACATTTTTTTTTTAATTTTGGTAAAAATATTTTTTTTTTTTAAATTTTGGTAAAAATATTTTTTTTTTTTAAATTTTGGTAAAAATATTTTTTTATTTTAAATTTTGGTAAAAATATTTTTTTATTTTAAATTTTGGTAAAAATATTTTTTTTTTTTAATTTTGGTAAAAATATTTTTTTTTTTAAATTTTGGTAAAAACATTTGTTTTTTAATTTTTGTAAAAACATTTTTTTTTTAATTTTGGTAAAAACATTTTTTTTAAATTCTTTTAATAACATTTCTTTTATTTTATTGAAATAATTTTTTGTTTTAATTTTGGTAAAAATATTTTTTTTTTTATTAATTTTGGTAAAAATATTTTTTTTTTATTAATTTTGGTAAAAATATATTTTTTTTTAATTTTGGTAAAAATTTTTTTTTTTTTAAATTTTGGTAAAAATATTTTTTTTTTTAATTTTGATAAAATTTTTTTTTTTAAATTTTGGTAAAAATATTTTTTTTTTAAATTTTGGTAAAAATATTTTTTTTTTTAAATATTGGTAAAAATATTTTTTTTTTTTAATTTTGGTAAAAATATTTTTTTTTTAAATTTTGGTAAAAACATTTTTATTTTAATTTTGGTAAAAACCTTTTTATTTTAATATATTTGGTAAAAATATTTTTTTTTTTACATTTTGGTAAAAATATTTATTTTTTAAATTTTGGTAAAAATATTTTTTTTTTAAATTTTGGTAAAAATATCTTGTTTTTAATTTTGGTAAAAACATTTTTTTTAATTTTGGCAAAAACATTTTTTTTTAATTCTTGTAATAACATTTCTTTTTTTTTTTTTTAAATATTTTTTTTTTTTTAATTTTGGTAAAACATTTTTTTTTAATTTTCATAAAAATATTTTTTTTTTTAAATTTTGGTAAAAATATTTTTTTTTTTCCCAGGCACCATACCTTTAATCGATGGGTTTGCCGATTTGCGCAATTTAGCTACTCTGGCAGCATTCATCTCGCTGGCAGCTATCATATGGTACGCTTGCACAACTCGAAATTTAACGCGCTCGCGCGTGCTTTTAATGGGCCTTGCCTGGCTAGCATTACCCTTCGTGCCCGCCTCGAATCTCTTCTTTCCCGTTGGTTTTGTTGTGGCCGAGCGCATTCTCTACATGCCTTCCATGGGCTATTGCCTGCTTATTGCATACGGGTATATGCAATTGGAGGAGCATTTACGTGAGAAGGTCATGATGCGTCGCCTATTGCAAACAACACTCGCACTCCTGCTGCTTACGCATGCACTGAAGACATATCGACGCAATGAGGATTGGCGTACCGAGTATACGCTGTTCATGTCCGGCGTACATGTGAATGCGCGCAATGCGAAACTCTTCAATAATGTGGGACACGCGCTGGAGAATGACCAACGCTATGCCGAGGCCTTGCTCTATTTCCAACAAGCCGTACGTATACAACCCGACGATATTGGTGCGCATATAAATGTTGGACGCACCTATAATAATATGCAGCAATACGAACAAGCCGAGTTGGCGTATCAAAAGGCGAAATCGCTCTTTCCGCAAGTTAAGCCGGGTGAGAGCTATCAGGCGCGCATTGCACCCAATCATTTGAATGTCTTCATAAATTTAGCGCAATTAATTGCACGCAATCGCACGCGCTTGGAAGAGGCTGACCTGTTGTATAGACAAGCGATAAGCATGCGCGCCGACTATGTACAAGCGTACATAAATCGCGGTGATATATTGATGAAATTAAATCGCACTGCTCAAGCGCAAGAAGTGTACGAGAAGGCGTTACTATACGATAGTGAGAATGCCGATATATATTATAATTTGGGTGTGGTTTTTTTGGAGCAGGGTAAAAGTGCGCAGGCGCACGTCTACTTTAACAAAGCCATCGAATTGTATCCGGAACACGAACAGGCGCTACTCAATTCCGCCATACTTTTGCAGGAGCGTGGCGGCGCTGAAGCACGGCAGCTATCGCGTGCACGTCTCTTCAAAGTGTTGGATAAGGATGCGAACAACGAGAAGGTCTACTTCAATTTGGGCATGCTGGCCATGGACGAAATGAATTTCGATGAAGCAGAGCAATTTTTTAAACGCGCTATACATCTGCGTGCCGACTTTCGTAGTGCGCTCTTCAATTTAGCACTACTATTGGCCGATGCCAATCGACCGTTGGACGCAGTGCCGTACCTGAATCAGCTGATACGTCATCATCCCGAGCATATAAAAGGTTTAATCCTACTTGGAGATATTTATATAAATCACATGAAGGATTTAGATGCGGCTGAACAATGTTATCACAATATACTACGCTATGAACCGAACAATATACAGGGTTTGCATAATTTGTGTGTGGTATTTGTGGAGCGTAAACGTTTGGCACGTGCTGCGGCATGTCTGCGTTATGCACAGCATTTAGCGCCGCATGAGGATTACATATTACGTCATTGGCAAATTGTACAGCAACGCTTACAGAAGATAAACAAGTTACCTGAAACAGCGCCGGAACGGCAAATGGCCTATGCTGATTATCAGCCGGACGAGTTTGAGTTTAAGGTGTTGCCGCCTGGGGGGAAAGTGGAACAAAGAAAGATTCTACAACAGCAGCAGCAATATGAAAATAAAAAACAACAACAACAACAGCAACAACATCGGTAGAAGGCAACTCTACTGTACATACATACGAGTACATATGCTCGCAAGCATATAATGCAGAGTGAGTTGGCATAAATACATATACCTACATATACACATATATCTGTATAAATTAATAAAAATTGTGAAAAGTGTAAGTTTAGCTATTAAGAAATGTTTAGTATCATAGTTGTAAGTTAATGCAGGCAAAATGTATGTACTTAACGTTATGTACATATGTATATAGGCTTATTTTTCTTAAGTGTATGCCTTGCTTCAGTTTAAAAAACTTGTGTAATGATCTACTTTATTGAGATTTGGCAGGATAATCGCCATTGTAAGGGAATGGCTTTCTAAATCTTTTTTTTTCATCGGGTCCTAACAAGGGTACCTACGTAGAGTGCCTACTGCAATTAATATTTCAACAGCAGTTTGCCATTTTGCTAATAAATAGACTTATGTTTAGTAAGCCCAAATATGAATCAATACAAACAACATGAGTGCTTAGTAATGATTAACTTTATTCAATTTTTTACGGTCTATTTATAATAGATTTTTGTCACAATTCATTTCAGCGTTTCCGCTCAGCAACCATAAGTTTGCTGACACTGCATTTGAAGTGAACGTTGATGTGGTGTAATATAACTCTTTATTTTATTGATCAGCAGTGCATTTCTGTAACTTTTATCGACACGATTTGTCGGATCGCAAAGTTACGAATTTTGTCGCTTGCGCTAACGATTATGCGATTCTCTAACACAGTTGTTACGATAATCGACATCGCACATTTCCATTTTATTAAAATGTAGGAAAGGTGGCACCACAGCTCAACGAAACGTCAAAATGTACGAAAAGCACAAGAGGAATGACAAAAACAAATAAATTTGTTATTGAAATTATTTTAATTAAAAGAATAGCAATGCATTACAAAGTTTTTCAATAGCATGTTATGGTTTGCACTTTCATGCATGACTCTTCGCTCTATAGGGGAGCTCCAAATAAAATAATTGTGCCGCGCTCTTGGGTACTTGGCATTTGCCAGTATAATCTTGCGATAAGGACCATATATCTATGTGAAAATATAATTAACTTTGTTACTACAATAGTAATCGGAAACAAATTTACTCTCACCATTTGCACATTGATGGAGTGGTATCCATGGTGGTTTATATACGCTTCTTCATGGTTTTTAACTCATGTGCAATCGATAGCTCCAATAGTGCCTCCAACATATGGTGACGATGACGAAGCAAAAATTTGGAAAACTAACAGAAAACCTTGAACGGTTGATTGCGTCTGTTACGCGATGAACACAACGGTTTACTGACGACTGACTCATGGACATGCCCATTGCAAAAAATCGCGAGGCGGGTAGAACCTTTAAACATTATAATAGTGTTAAGACTAAAAAAAATATTGAAAATATATATTATTACCTGTTTCTCCGTAGACAATGCTGTTATTCTTCTTCCTTTTAGTTGGCAATCTAGTTCAGAAACGATTTCTTCAACTAAATCCGGCGAAACTCGGTAGCATCCAAATGAAAAGGATCTTCCGCTTCTCGACGCAAACTTCTATTCAATGATGAAGATTAGGATACCTCGTCATATTGTGATAAAACGTATGCCAAATATTCAAAACCATTTCTTTTATTTTTTTATTTTTATTTTTGTATAACTTTGACAATTTCCCGGACACTTTACTCTCTTATATGAAATAACAAAATTTTGTCGATATCGCTAACAACTTAAAAATATTCGTCGCTTAGTTAACGATTTTTCGAGTAGTTTACGACAACAGCGAGAGCGAATATCGTTAAAACAAGTACACCGAATATTAAAATCGTTAGAATTATCGCAAAGTCTTCTTTGCGATCCGAAAATCGTTATACCATTTTAGAGAATAGCAAAATCGTTAAAATTATCGTTAAGTCATTATAACGATCCGAAAATCGTTATAATACGATAGAGAATTGCCCTGCAGCTCTGCTTGTGTGATAGCAGCTGCGCAGAGTTATTGGCCTGATTCTTTGTTTATGCCAATATGTCAATTCATTGTTTTGTTTACGTAGTAGTTTGATACTATGTATGTATGAACATGTATGACTAAGGCCACTACACTTGATTTGACATGAATTCAATAGTGCGGTCACTACCACAGTCAGTCGGGTTTTTATCTTGCAATTTTCCCCGAAAACCAACAAAAACACCTTCATACAGACAATGCGAAACGCACAACTGTTTCGAAATTGACCCCTCGATATTGGAAAACCTCTGCAATGCTTCTAAAGCAATTTCTGTATAACTGTTTAATATACTTGGTAATGTTATAGTATACCTGCCTTATGTTAAATTTTCATACCCCTGCGGGTTAGGGGTTCCCGAATTTGCCCGCGGTAAGGTATGCCTGTCGTAAGAGGCGACTTAAATCCAATAGTTTTCGCGATAGTCGGGTATTTATACCGGAACGACCCCAGAAACTACTTTAGGGAATATTTTTGCGATTACAATAACAGCAACAACCGCAGCAGCAACACCAAAATTGTGTTTTTTCAATGGATTAAATTTTTTTCTTACTGTATTACTTTCTAGGAAGGAAATTTATCCTGAACAGCCAATCTTATTATATTATAATAATTCCTTGTCAGCTTGGCATCTACCACCATACTCAAAGCGACTTCCCCTAACAAACAATTACTTTCGTAATTGCCTGAACACATATTTGTGTTCTCATAATCTTGGGATTATACCTTCATCAAAAGTTTTGATCCCTCACTTTACCCTTTTCCTTTAATATTATTTGAGAAGCACAGCTTAGCTGAGGATTACTGTTTAAATAATGAATCTACAACCACTTTTATTTTCATTCACACGTTTTATTAATTATTATTCAATATAATATATTAAAATATAAATTAATAAACTAGATTTCAACTCAAACGAGCATTATAGCCGGACGAATTGGTAGAAAGTGTATTTAATCAAATTTGATAGATTTGAGATTGCTGAGCTGCTATAATTTACGGTATAATTTAAGGCAGAACTCACTTAAACACTGTTGATTAAATGTCCTCCTCCCGCACACTAAAGGTGTATTAAATAAATGATTTGTTATTTCTCGCTTTGCTCTCTAAAAGCTAGCTTGATATAGCTTATATCATTCTCTCGGCAGGGTAATGGAATCACCTCCCTCCGTCCTGACGCTGACGTTTCAGCGCTTGTGTTCTGTTGGTTATAGATCCAACTTTGATAAGCTCTACTGCTTAAATTTCACAAATAAAAAACGTCCTTAACACATTTTTTAAATGATGAATTCTTTTGGAGAATTTGCCTAATGGAACGATTCATAAATAAGAATAAGAATAAATAAAAAGAAAAAAAGAGAAAAATAAATTAAGAGAAAATTAAATAAAGAGAAAATTAAAAAAGAGAAAATTAAAAAAAGAGAAAATTAAATAAAGAGAAAATTAAATAAAGAGAAAACTAAATGAAAAGAAAACTAAATAAAAAGAAAAATAAATTAAAACAAAAATAAATAAAAAGAAAAATAAATAAAAAGAAAAATAAATAAAAAGAAAAATAAATTAGAAGAAAAATAAATAAAAAGAAAAATAAATGAAAAGAAAAATAAATAAAAAAGAGAAAAAGTGAAATAAAGGGAAAAATTAAAGAAAAAATTAAAGAGAAAAAAATTAAGGGAAAAAATATAAAGAGAACAAAAAATTAAAAAGATAAAAAAGTAAAGAGAAAAAATAAAGAGAAAAAAATAAAGAGAAAGAAATAAAGAGAAAAAAATAAAGAGAAAAAAATAAAGAGAAAAAATAAAGAGAAAAATAAAAAAAATAAAAAAAAATTAATAAAGAGAAAAATAAGTAAAGGGAAAAATAAATAAAGCAAAATTAATAAAAAGAAAATTAAATAAAAATAAAATTAAATAAAAACAGAAGTAAATAAAAATAAATAAAAAGAGAATAAAAAAATAAAATAAAAGATAAATAGATAAAAAATTAAAAGAAAAATAAAAAAATAAATTAAAACACAAATATATTAAAGGAAAATAAAAAAATAAAAAAATTAATTAAAAATTTAATTAAAGATATAAAAAAAAAATAAAAATATAAATAAAAAAGTTAACTAAAAAAAATTTAAAAAAAAATAATTAATTACTTAATTAATTAAAAAAAATAAAATTAATTAGAAAAATAAAATTAATAAATAAAAATAAAATTAATAAATAAAAATAAAATTAATAAATAAAAATAAAGTTAATAAATAAAAATAATATTAATAAATAAAAATAATATTAATAAATAAAAATAATATTAATAAATAAAAATAAAATTAATTAAAAAAAATAAAATTTATTAAAAAAAANTGTGCCAGCATCCGCGGTTATACAAATAATACAAATAAAATTTGTTCAGTGAAAGTTAATTTTTATTAAAATAAAATATTAATAAATAAAAATAAAATTAATTAAAAAAAATAAAATTTATTAAAAAAAAAATTAAATTAAAAAAAATAAAATTTATTAAAAAAAAAAATTTATTAAAAAAAAAAATTAAATTAAAAAAAAATTAAATTTATTAAAAAAAATTATTAAAATAAATAAAATTTATTAAAAAAAATAAATTTTATTAAAAATTTAAATTTATTAAAGAAATTAAAATTAATTATAAAATAAATAAAATTATTTAAAAAAAAAAATAATTAATTCTAAATTAGAAAAGAAATAAATAAATTAAACTAAAAGAACGATTAGCCGCAAAAAAGAAGCTGGTAAATTTTTTACCTCTTCTATTTGTAACTCCTCGAATTATTTCCAGTTATGTTGATTATATATTATTTATATAATTTTAACTTTGTGTTATATTTTGTTAAGCTCCTTTATAAGTTTGCGATTTATTTTTTAGGTTTGGCAATTTTATGTTTACCAAATTTTTATTTATTACAGAACTTATGAAAATTTTTCAATTCAATTGAAAAAAAAAAAAAAAATTGAAACTCGCTTTTTTGGAAATTTGTTTTTGTTAATTAATTTCCTTTCTTTATTTTACATTTATTTATTTTATTTGCATTTTTCCTTTTAGCTACAATTTTGTTTTTTGTTGTTAACAAATTGTTGTTAATAAATTAATTAAATGTTTAATAAAGTCGTCATGGCTACCAATTTATTTTTCCCACCTGAAATTTTTTTTAAACGTTTAACATCGACCTGCTTCGTGTGTTTGCATATTGCGCTGGCATTTGCATTTTTAGTACGTAAAATGCATCCTTGCTTCCTCCATTTCAAGTCATATAAATATTATAATTCTACGAA